GAGGCCGCGTCTTTCCCTCTCTCCCTGCCTTCCCCTGGGGGCTTTTTCTCCCCCAAATTCACCTCAGAGTCGGGATAAGCCCTCGGATCCGTCCAGGAGGCAGGGCTGGGGGTGCCGAGTGCAGGAAAGGTCCGTGAGCTCCAAACCAGGCTGGAAAGGAGCTCCCGGACCTTCCACGCGTGGGACTATGGCCTCGGGGCTGTGACATTCCCCAGATGAAGAAACTAAGTCAGATTTTATGCAGAAAACACCAGATATTGGAGCTCTGAGTAAAAACGGAAAAAAAAATAAATGGGGATCGTCTCCTGATCTCCACTGGATCCTGTTAGCTAGTGGCTGTAGCCAGCTCCGAGCTGTCCGCAAGCAGCGGAAGTCTCTGCCTGCAGCTGGCAGCAGCAGCTACAATTCACTTTTATGAGAAAAAAAAATGAGGTTGGACAGGCCACACTCCGGCACGTGACGTTTCCCAAAAGAGCCGGGCGGTCACTCATCCTGCAGAGAGGCCCATTCCCTCTCTGACAGCAGCTCTTTTTTTTTTCTGGAAAAAAAGAGCTAAATGGGTGTTTGTAACCTGGAGCTGCTGCTGACACCTGCTGTCAGCGCCGCGCAGTTTTTGTCTTTTAGCAGATGTTTGCAAGGAGATGGTTACAGTGAGAAAAGTTGACGCAAACGGGTTGGTCAAGGCTGGGCTACAGCAAGCGCTTTCGTTCCTCTTCTGGGGTGTAGAAAAATAACTTTCAAACCCTACTTACAGTTTGCATCTGAGAGAAGGGGGTTTTCAATTTTTTTGTGTTGCCCTTTTTTCAGCTGTGTGAAAAAGCAGGGAGTTGCAGGATTCCTATGGATTTAAACAGAAGAGCAACATTATCTCATATACATATGTATATATATAATCTTAAAACTTAATAGGAATGGCTGGTGAGCTAAGGGACAGGAGCTGAAAAGGAAAAATTACTCTGTAATCACAATGATAAAAAAATCTATTTTCAATTGATTTTCAGTGTTCCCTATGTCCTCAACAAATCCCTTTTGCCCCAAGTCTCCAGAAAACCTGTTGCATGGAGAAAACCACTGTTACATGGACCAGTATGACACCAAATATTGAAAAATAGCTAAAAAAGCCTAGTCTTAAGTTTGTTTTTGGTGTTGTATACGACCCTTCTTCACCACATTAACCTTTGCAGGCCCTGAGCTCTCAGCTCCAGGGAAGGTCGAGTCCATCCTTCCCTTGGCCACCTCATCCTTAGTCCAACCCCTTTCAAAAACCACAGTTTCTTTTACAAACACTAGGATATTATTTTAAAATATTCCTACTAAGCACATGTCCTTATTAGAAGCAAAAGATTTTTTGATGCGGAGTTTTGCTATTTTACCCTGTTTTTCCAGTGGAGCAGACACAACCCACAAAGACAATTTCTTTTTGGGCAGGCCCCTCACATCAAGGTTTTCCTGCCAAAATAAAGCACCTTATATTTCTGCTTCTGCAATACTTTACTAGCCCTGTCTCTGCTCCCTTGAAAATATATACACAAAGCCAAAATGTTATTCTTTGGCCTGATATTCAATTCAAAATAACCCGCAGTTTTTACAAGACTTTACCACAAGCTTCATTTACATCAACTCAATTCCCATAACCTTTTTTCTTTCCCGCCCCCCTGATCCAAGTTTCCACAACAGATAAAGGAAATTTTTGCCTTGCTATTTGACAAAGATCTTGAATTATTTTTTGTTTTTCCCCCCACAACATTCCTTCTTCTCTTTAACTGCAGGCTTTGAGGGAACAGCAGGCTCATCAGCTTGTAGGCAGGGCTTTCACCCCAGTGGATGCAACAAGGCACTCCAAGTCACCACAACAAGTTTTATTTAGTTTTAGCCCCTCTTTGGGCTCAGTATCTTGCTCGCCTTTATCAAACACTTATTTTTTAGCATTACTGTTTTAACATTTCCCTCCAGTGAAGTGTTTTGAGGCTCTGGTTCCATTAACATTCTTCACATCATCAACAGGTGGTTTTGGTCAATAAAGACAAGACACAGATGTATTTTCAGGATATTTTTAATAGAAAAACAAGATTTTACTTTATAAAGCAGAGTACAAACAAGGGCAATGCCTCAGACAAGCAAAAAGCAAACAAAAGGTGTGAACAGCACACTACAGAGGAGTCACTGATGAAGCCAAAGAAACCAAGACAAAATTTAAAAGTGCTGTATACTGAAAGCTAAGCTTCAGGAAGTATATATTAATTTTAATCATAATTTTCTCACAGCCTCTCAAATTTTGATGTGAGGACTATCTCGTTAAAAAAATAAAGCATCTCTTTAGTTCTATGCAATAGCTAAATATAAGTGTAAAAAAATAGACAACTTTAAGGAGACCAGCTCAAGTAGAGGGGACACACGGCTCGCTGTTAAAGCGGGGCTAGGATCATCGTTACCCCTCCTCGGAGGAGCTGCCATCTTCCGAGGGATCCGGCGGCAGGGGGCGAGCTCTGAAAGACACGGAAAACAAGTGAAAATAAAGCGATTTCGGCCCGGATGAGCCCGGAGGACTCGGCCCG